GCAGGGATGCTCAAGAGTCCATAACAATGCAGGCCTCTAAACCAGGTGTTAAATCTAAGCAAGACATTCGGGAGTCATGATGGCAGGATACAACACTTTCCGCAACTACCATTCTCTTTCATAAACAAAGACAAGGGGGGGTGGCAAAGGCAGAAATTCTGTGTCTCATAAACCTAAGACAATGCCTACTTATGGAAAAGAATATGATGGTGGGAGATGGTAAGAATTATGGATGGATACCAGGAAAATGCAATCACAGGACATTACTTATCTCAGCAACAGAGAATTTTTACACAGTCAAAAACATGAAGCATACATAATCCAAAACTCGGAGGCTAGGGAGAGGTGAGAAAAACGCCAGAGAAATGGGATGCTAAAGTCCTTAAGGGAGGCATCAAGGACAACACCCAGCGCACTGAATGCCAGGCACCGCTGCATGTGTGTTACTGACTTTAAATGTGTATGCATGTTAGACAGATCTAGTTCACAACAAGAGAAAGAACACAGTAAGAAACTGAAAAGTCAGTTAATACAGGAAGGAGACAATCCAAAACCCACACCCACCCACACCCTATACTGATCCCACCACTGCACACGAGCCCAGTTCCAACACACAAGCTCAACCACCTCCACCATTTGCCTGTCAAACTGGTAATATTTTTAAGTGAAATACGCAGATAGAGGCATGTTTCATAGACAACCAATGGGGATGTAATTCACAAGAAATCCTATAATAACGTTTGTCATTATATCTGAGTGTAACACTTGGTTCAACCTTAGAAGTAGATGCCCACCTTTGTGACCCCAATTTCTACCTGGAGAGGTTTGTCTTATGGAAATCACACAGTTGTACAGAAATTTACAAATGTCCAGGGTGCTCTCTAAAACACCAGTTAAATTACTGAAATGTTAGAAATGACTGGATGTCCCCTAGAAAGAAAAATACGGAAGCTACTCAATAGAACACCACACAGCTATTAAGAATGCTTCACAGGGAGACATGTGTCACCATGCAGGAAGCTGGGGAAAGGTCTAGGAAGAAAGGACAAGAACACAAAACAGGAGCTGAGCAAGAACAGATCAAGACCTCAGACGGCAAGTGGGGTTTCTCTGCCTCGGTGTTTACAATAACATGCGGTAGGTAAGGAGCAATCCCCAGGACAGAGGCTGTCACGCCCACCGATTAACCTGTTCACTTAGGCCGTCCTGCCTATTGGTAAGAACATCACGTTTTGGAGCCAAAAACTAGAGATTCAATACCCAAAGCCTGGTTTTTCACATACTCCATGAACCAACTTTGAATGAGAGATAATAACATCATCCCATAGTTCCACTGTGAAAGTGAAACTGAAGTGGAGGGAAATCCTGTGTTCATTGCTCCTATCAGCACGTAGTAAGAAAAAAAACCCAGCATTTTTCTGTTACTTTACACTGCTAAGCCAAATGAATTAAGTTCAGGGGTTTGAAAAGCAGGAGAGGGGCGTGGAGATTTGCACAGTGCCCACCTCTACGTCACAGTGTTAACTAACAGAGGACACCACCTGTACTGAGCACACTGGCCGGGAAGGGAAGAGATGGCCACGTCTGTAAGGGCCACCCCAGGCCTGCCACGCACAGCTAGGAGGACGGAGATAGACATCAGGCCTTCGCTCAGGTCTCAGGCAGACTTCCGCTTTACCAGACCTTCTGTTTTCTAGTTCAGTTGTAAGACAGCAGGAGACTGTCCTGACATTCTTAAACAACTAGAGCGGGAAAGGGAGCGAGAAGGGACTTGGGGCGGGGTGGGGAGTGGAGACAGCCTGGGATGAGTTGCAGGAGGGGAAAAAAATTAACACAGACAAACAAACAACAACAAACCTGTGACCTGATTACCAGCAGTGAGAAACTAGGCCTCATCCAATAGTCTGGATCTGAGGTTTCTTCTGCTCTGTTTGATGTGAGCCCTCGCGTTTGGACCCACGCACAGGTTAGTTAACGTGAGGCGTATCTATCTGCAGCCTCAACACAGACGCTCTCTCAATAATGCTATCTGACAGAAAGCAATGAAGGAAAAGATGAAGTGTCCAGAAGGACCTAGAATTCTAGGTGCTCTCTACAAGAGAACACCATACCACAGCTCTGTGGAAAACTCAGCATTATGTAACCTAACAAAACTTTTAGTGAGGTTTGTTGTACAGGTGAGGCTCGCAGGGTTTTAACAGAATGAAGGGAACATTAATAAGGTGAAAAGCTTCTTGCACTGGTTTCCTCAGCAGCGCATGTGACTCCTGAACGCCATTGTCCCCACAGCCACGAGGGCCGGCTTGCTGGCCACCAGGACTGTCTCATCTTCAAATGCAGATGTTACTGAACATCTGTTGTTTGCTAACACGCTTTACTAACTTTCTAGGAACATGATCAGCTGAAATAGCAGAAAAACCATTTCTGTCTTTCAAAAGCATCAACAATGCATTTAAAGTTAGCGGCAGAGTAATCATCGGGCGGTAGGTTTTCCAGCCCTCTTCACGCGATGAAATGTTCTTTCCCAAGGAGAATAAGCAAGAACAGGATAAGTGAAAACATTTGCTCACTTTCTGGGGCAAACTTACTAAGTGTGGGGCAACTAGCTAAAAAATGTAGCAGAAGATTCTACTCCTGGAGGCTGTCTTTGAAATTCTGTCCTTGAAGATGAGGATAAAGACTGCTTCAGAGTCTTTAATTTCCTAACTTTCATCGCACCAAAGAGGAAGGAAACAGCTATTCACAGTCAACTGTATACAGGACACTGGTCTGGGATGAAACTCAGTTCCTACTAAAGATGACTGCCATGGTGAGACCAGCCACTAGAGGGCGCTAATTCTGACTCCCTATCCTGACTTGAATGTGCTTCAGGTTCAAATCATGTTGCCTATTTAAGTCCAAATTCTCAGAGAACTGTATATATTTAAGTGGGCATTTTGTTAAAACCGTAAAATAATGGTGCATATGCTCTTGGAGTAAAATAAAATGGCTATCCCGTAAAGGGTCTATGTTAAACAAAATGAGAAAGCATGGTCAACCCAAAGATGTGACTTTCCTGAACTTGCGGTATTTGGGGCCTCCCTGCACACAACCTCTTCTTTTAACTCTAGGATTCATATTAAAATTTAATCACCTAATTTTTAAGAGTGAACTTAGATTCGGTGCCTTATAAAGTTAGCTATTTTCCACTCAGGGGAAAAACGTGAGAACTTTCACTAGGTGATCTATGTGCCAACACTGAGCTCTTGTGCAGAGCAGGCTGGTGACCTTTAAAACACTTGAAAGGTTACAGCCGACCCACAGTGTTCAGTCAAGATCTGATGAGCTGCAGCTAGGAACCAAACAAAACCAAACACAAGTCAGCGGGGACAAGAGTTTAGTTATAAGAAATTATCAAACGCAAGTATATTACAGAAGTGAGGGAGTAATAAAAATACTGAGACAACATAATAAAAGCTGTGTCTTAAAGGGAAGTGTTGTAATGTTAAAAAGGAAGCTCGCTCTATTAACTAGAAACAAAAAAAAACCATTAAGCATTATAACGAATGAAAACTGAGCCCCTGAACTTTCAGAGAAAGCATGTTTTGTCCTTAGGTGACACCGTGGAAACAGGTGACTTAAATACTCGCACGGAGCTTCAGATCTCTTTGCCCATGGACATAAAATCTGAGGTACACCCATTTCACCTCACGCTGAGTTAGTATTGCTAGTCATGAAAACAGAGAACAGGCACTCGAAAGCCTCTCAGACTTTAGCCATCGGGAACAAAGTCAGACAGAGCAAACACGTTTTAATAAAGAAAACCGGTCTACAAAACAGCAAACAGCAGAGGCCCAGGAGCCAGGGTCCTCAGAACGGCCCGGCAGGAAACCGCTGAGTCGGCAGTATTTGAGGCCGATAAGCTGTACTGCAAAACTTCCAAATTCTGGTCGGACTACTTACACACAAACATCTTCTCTCAATGCTAATTTAAAAGTCGAGACATGAGGAACTAGGACAGCTGAAATTCTTAAAGGAGATTAAAATTCACAAATAACCAAACTTTTAAGCGAGTAACCAGTTGTAAGTGTAGTATAAATCTTAAAATGTTATTTTTCTAGTTTGTTAGTATGATAGCTAAGTCAAATTTTAAGCAAAATGCACACTACTGATTGTCTGAAAGTGTCCCTAAAACTATTTATTAAAAAAAACAACAACAACTGGGCAATGGTAACTTGTAATAATTATGAATGAATGCATCAATACCGTCAACTCTTACATGGAAACCTGTCTCAAGTATAGATATCTTTCTCTGGGGAAAAGGATTTAAAAACATTTCCCATCTCACGCAGAAGACTGCAATCACCCTGTTTAAACTGGGAAATGAATTAATTACAGGTAGATACTGAGAATAATTTATAAGTCCAGTTCTTTTTCGTCTTCCTTTTTTTTTTGATCTTATAGGCCCTAAAACTACTCCAAAAGGAAGTGCACAGCTTCGCCAAAGGGTGGCTAAGAAGGCCACCAAGCCACGGGGGCACCTGTCCACTGCACACTCCAACCTGCTACCGACTCTGCTCCTGTACTGAGCCCTGCAAACCTGCTGCCTTGCAAGTAAACGAGACAGCGGAACAGAAAGCTAGCTGCTGCGAACAGAAAGGAATGCCTTCAGAGGCCAAGACCCCCTCTTTCAAGCCTGCACGTGTTTAGTTAGCGCTTCCCAGCGCCTCACCTCCGCGAGCTGCCAGCCGAGGACCCTACACGTCCTCTAAAGCTCACCAAGGTGGCGATCTGGAGTGGAGGAGGATTTCAGGACAGGCTTAGCAAATAGCTAAATAATCCAGAGCGGCACTAGGTAGGTCAGAGCTGTCAACGAATCGGGGCCAGCCAAGGTCGCCGAGCTGCGAGAGTGCGGTGCCCGGGGAGGGGGATGGACTTTTAAATGCATCGACCGGACCCGGTTCCCGGTCGGCAGCCCGCGTGGAGACCTCCCGCCCCCGCCGAGCGCCCGGGCCCGCCGTCACTCACGTTTTCTGCACCGGCTTGCGCCGCTTGCGGCTGGCATAGGTGATGTTGGCGCCGCTGCTCATGGTGCCCGCGCCCTGCCCGCTCCACCTGCGTCCCGGAGGCGGCGCCCGGCCCGCGCTGCGCCCAGGTGAGCCGCCACCGCCGAGGGCGGGACCGACTGCGACGCGCAGGTGCGGGCGACGACGGAGGGGACGCGGGGCAGCCGGGGTGGCCGCGGAGGAGGAGCCCGCACGCTCGCCCGCTCGCCCGCCCGCCGCGCCCCGTGTCGGAGCCCCGGAGGCGCCGCGGTACCCTGGGGCTTCCCGGCTCCCGCCGTGTGCCGCCGCTCAGGGGCCGGCTCCGCTGCCACCTCCCCTCCGAGTCCGTCCGTCCGCCCGTCCGTCCGCGCGCTCGCCCCGGGCCGAGCCTCTCCCGAGCACGCGCCGGGCACCGAGCGTCGAGGGGACCGCACACACGCGCTGCCGCCCGCCGCCGACCGGCTCCTCCGCAGCCGCGACCCCGCGCAGCCCGGCCACGCCCCTTGGCCACGCCCCACCTTCTCGGCCCCGCCCCTCGCGGCTCCCAGGGGGGCTCCACCCCTCTTCCCAGCGCGTGATGACGCAGCACGTAGTGACTCCCTGTCTTAGCCCTCTTCCAGAGGTTCTGGGGCTGGGGCGGTGTTCACCCTGTACCTGTTTTCCAGCCTAGGAGGGGTGTGAGGCCAGATTATGCCCAGGCAAATTCCTTGCAGCCAGACATCAAGATGGACTAGGCAAAGAGCTTAGCTCCTCCTAGAGTTGAGTCACCTCATTTTTGGCAAACAATTACAGCGAGCTGGGAGATCAAATACTGCAGCTAGGGAGAGGGGAAGGCTTCAGAAATGCCCTACAAAGCCGAGGCCTCTAGGCTAAGCACTTTACAGTTCTTCCCTCCCACTTTTACTGTAGCTCCACAGTCAACCATAAAATACTTTTCCTCTTTTCCTCGAAAGAAGCCTAGGAGTGTTGAGGCATTGCAGGCTGGGTACTGAGTCTGGTGTGGTCAGAGTGGAGCTTTTGTCGGTAGTCTGGTAGAGCCGGGGAGAAAAACTGGAATGGATATTTGGGAATTCTAGGAGCAAATCACAAAGCCTTGATGAAGAACTTGGGTTTCAGTCTTGAGGCAATGGAAGGCTTTTAAAGGTTTCTTTTGGAAGTTGATGTTCCCGCTGCCTTGGGAAAGTCACTGTGGGAAACAGTGAGAACTCTGTGGCTGGAGAGCGGAATGGATGAAGAAAGAGTCCTTGGGAAACCGATGATGTGATCCAGGTGCAAGTCCAACGACAACACTGGGGACGGGGAAGAAGATAGGGCTGAGGGGAGAGAGCGGGTAGCCTCAAGAGGGCAGAGGCAGAGAAGTGCATTTTGGGAGTCGGGGGTGATAGTGGCGATGATTTTGATTTGTTTTATACATTTGGAAGAGATATTAGAAGAAAGGATACATGACAGCAAAGGAAAAGGATATATCCAGAAAACTAAGAGCCCCAAATGATGGCGAGGTCGTGGAGAAAGAGGAACCCTTAATTACTGTGGGTGGTTGTGTAAACTGGTCCGGCCACTGTGGAACTCTGTATGGAGTTTCTCGACAAGTTAAAGACAGAGCTACCTTATGACCAGCTGTACTACTTCTGTGTGCACACCTGAAGGACTCTCGGTCATGACAGCTTAAGAAGTGGACCTAGGTTACTTGCACATCAAGACGTGGAGTTTTAGTGGACCATAAAGGAACATGAAATCACGCCATTTGCAGGGAAATGAATGGAATTTGGAATTGCTATGTGAAGCACGGTAGACGCAGAAGGACAAATACCTCGTGTTCTCTCTCTTGTAGGTCCTAGAGTTCGATTTGTATACATGAGACTAGGAAGGAGAACGTGAGAAAGGAAAAGGAAAGGAAAAAGAGAAAATAAGAGGATAAGAAAATACAATGACTTGAAACAGAGCGGGGGCTCCTGGGGAACAGGAGGGGCAGCAGGCATGAGGCAAGGAGTTGGGGGAGGCAATAGAATCAGAGTTTGAAGATGCACACATTTGGTTAAGCCCGTTGATTTGTATGCTAATATTAGGAACAAACTTAAAAGTTAAAAATAATAACTTTCTCAGCTATGTTTCTGGCTGAGTACTAACGGCAGGCAATACCAGAGAGAAATTATCACCTGGCTTCATACGTCCTAGGTTTGGAATCTAGCTAAGGCATCTGAGGAAAGATGTTGAGTGTACCAGCTCAAGAAGGACAAGCTGGAGCCGTGTTTTAGAGGCCATTAGTTGGTGGACAAAGAAGAGAACAGGGCGATGCCATGTGGGCCTGCGAAAGAACTGCAGGACCGACCACTGAAAACTCCAGAGCCCCACATGGGAGAGCTGGGTCCACTGGTGGAGGCGAAGGTGAAAATAGCCCTCTAATGTCAACTACTCGGAAGCCTGAGACAAGAGAACCAAGATTCAGAGGCTAGTCTGAACTAAATTGGGAGGCCCGTTATTAATTATTAATTAAAAATAATATGGGGTTGGTTTTGTGGGGGATAATGGGTGCTACGTCTTCAGAAAAGAGGAGCAGAAGTTGACTCTATAAGAAAAACAAAGGGCAATGAGGAATGGTAGATATTAGTAGGAGATCCCGGAACGTGCCAAAGCAGAAACAAGGTCAGGGCTGCAATGGACATGCTAAGAGCCAAAGCAATGCTTCAGGGACTTTGTTTTTCAAAGTCTCCATAGCTTCTCATGGGGAACCAGGGCCTTTGTGGCTCACACTTGTACTCCCAGCACTTGGGGTGATGAGGCAGGACAGTGGCTAGAAGTTCAAGGCCAGTCTAAGCAACAGAGTATGCTTTTTATCTTAAAGGGGAGAGGGCAAAAAAAAAAAAAAAAAAAAGAAATGCAGAATTTCTGAGTGCTCCGGTATCCATACTGAGCCAGACTCTGACTTAATAAGGTCTTGCGGGTGATCCAGCTCTTTGAGATTCAGTGCTGTATAGTAGGTGGAGGGAGGGGGGACATACTAATGAGGCAGAGTCCACTGATAAAGGTCACAGTGAAAATACAATAGGCAGGGAAGTTTAGCCTGAGTTGTAGAGGAATGGGTATGCCCTGTGGTTGGTAGTTTTTGTTTTAATTTAATTTTAGAAAAGCATGCTTTAAAAGTGATCTGGGAAATGGCAACAGGAAGTTGGGCATCAACACTGTGTCCCTCATACATATCCCTCCCAAATAATCCAGAAAGAGAAAGAAAGAAGGAAGGAAGGAAGGAAGGAAGGAAGGAAGGAAGGAAAGAAAGAAAGAAAGAAAGAAAGGAAGGAAGGAAGGAAGGAAGGAAGAAAGACTACTTCTGGAGAAGACTATTCACATTGATCAACAAATCAAGGGCAAAAACCAAAATCTTTTCTTCCATTCCTTCATCCACGTAGATGGATCACACAGTCATTCTATGCCAACATGCTTTAACTGGAAAAGAATAATTTCCACTTTGCATAGCAACCTAACGTGTAAAACACACACAAAACAGTCCATGGACTATATCAGTCATCGCTCCTCTACAGGAAGAGGTTGTACTAGACTCTTAGTGGGTTTTTCATTTGTTTTTAAAGTCATTTTTTAAATGGTGGTTAGTCCTATCTTACTTTCTGTGTTTGACTAAAGCATTATACAGGAGTCATATCGTGCTATGTTCTCATATTCAGTCTTAGGTAATAAATTTTTGTATAGCCAAGATTAACAGTCTAATGTTCACAATCAAATTTCAGGAATTCATTTCATTTCAGTAATGACAGTATAAAGTTCCCTTAATAATCAGTGTGCTGATAAAGCCAGTCTTTCCTGTGAGGTAGTAAAAACAACAACATAACACAGCTGATACTTTCTAGCCAACAATGCTTCCAAGTACCACTGCAGAACATGGCTCTCAAATTGTCATGTGTGGTCCCTCACAAAGGTACTTTGTTTTCTGTCATCTAGAAACATGTTTTTTCTTTTTACTTGCAATAATTTGTGATAATTTACACCCAACTACTTTATCAAGTATGATAATAGCACATTTTAGGAGTATTATAAATATAGTTCTTCTATAAGGAAGGAAAATTACTAAAATAATCTAAACCAATTCTGTCGCAATGCTTGTATCCATTCATGTTGCTAATATATTTAATTTCTGCAAGAAATCAGACACTGTGTAATACACTAGTGATAACGGATTCCCTAATAGACCCTACCTTGTCATAGAAGAAAGAACAGCTAATCAAGTGGTCTGCACATAAGTGTGTAGCTGCATTCCTGATGCATGCTCTCGGGAATACTATGGGATGTGTCACAAGTGGGCTTGATTTATTAGGGGCAGTCCTCTGAAGCAGCCGAACCGAGTCTCACAGTAGGAACCGGCGCTTTGCAAGTGTAGAGGGGAGGCTGTTTCAGGCAGAGGGTGTTTGGAACACTCGCTTTTTTCCTCCTCTTCAGTTCTCTATCTCTTTACCGCCTGCTACACTTGTCTATTTCTCAGGTGACACACCTTAGGTTTTTCCTTTGTTTGTTTTGCTCTTTATGGATTGTAGTCTATGACTTCCATACTGTGTACTGAGCTGACCGAAATGACAATTCAGAGAGGAACTGTTATTGTTAAAAAATAAAGTTTAGAAAACCCTGACATTGTTCTGCTCTTCACTTAAGAAGCCAGGAACTTCAGGCCCAGGGAGACAAGTTTAGATTCTAGGGCTTGTCAACTCTGCAGTTCAAATATAGCTTATCTCTCTCCAGTCTGATTTAATTCATTTCTTAAACATAGTCAGCAGAAACACTGCTTCTTTGGGGTGCAGAACTGAAGACTCTAGTTATGAGTCGCAGTTATTTCTAGATGCTTGATTTCTCCTTTACTGGTGTGGGTGTTCTCCCACAATGCCAGAGTCAGAAGGAACAAAGACTTAACAGAGGTGGAAGGATTCTGTAAACAAGGGTGAGACTGACAAGGGTAATTGGGGTTGTCCTTGACAAAGAACCTACAATAAAATGTAAGCATTATTTGTTAGCAGTCAAAGTTACTTTCTTTTACCTAGGGGTAATCAAGAGGTTTATTCACATTTATGTATCTGTCTCTCTATCTATATCTATCTATCTGTCTGTCCGTCTGTCTAGCTGTGTGGGAGAGGGCACTGCTGTATATGAGAACATTGTGTCATGGCACACATGTGTAGGTCAGAGGACAACTTGTGGGCCATACTTTTTTTCCCCTCTACATGAGTTCTGAGAATTGAACTCAGGAAGTCAGGCGGGGTCTTGAGTTACTTTACCCACCAGCGACCCTGCTGGTAAATGTTACTTTACCAACATTCTTATGTTTAAATGCTAATGCTTTATTTTCAGGGCCTCTTATTTAATATATGTGAAATTCAACCATGAGGAAGTTGATGAGAAAGCTTTATATTTCACACAATAAGGTTCATGTCCTATTTAGTAAACATTTTGTAATATATATGTGTAAAGATAAATTTGTGTAAAGATATTCAACTTCAG